TGGCGCGCGTTCCCGGGGTACGGCGGCTTCAGGGGCCGCAGGATGTGGGCCAGGCTCTGGGGGGGCTTGATCTTGGGGTGGCTGGAGAGCGAGGGGGGCAGCAGGGAGGGCAGGAGGGAGGGGAAACAGGCCAGCAGGGGCGAGGGGCAGGGGTGAGGGGACGGCAGGGGGCCGGGGGGGGCGGCGGCGCCCCCCTCCAGGCACAGCTGGGGCAGGCAGGGCGGGGGAGAGGAGGAGCAGCTCTCGGCGCCCCCCAGCTGCAGCACCTGCTTACAGATCTCCTCCGTCATCTGCATCTGGTAGATCTGCCTCTGCTGCAGAACCCGCAGCTCCTCCAGGATGATGGCGATGCTGAGGGGCGCCCGGCCCTGGCTGGGGCTGGGGGCCGGGGTGACGGGGCTGGGCAGCCCCTCCGGGGTCGGGCTGGGGCTCCCCGGGTGCCTGGGGGAGCTGGGCCGGGCGGAGGAGGAGGTGGCGGACACCCCCATCTTCGGGGAGGCCATGTCCCGGCCGCGGGCCTGCAGGGGGGCGGGGCCGGAGCCCGCCGGGGAGGGGCTTGCGGCGGAGGCGGGGTTGCCGGGGAAAGGGGAGGGTCCTGTGCCGGAGAGGGAGGGGCTTCCGCGCCCGGGGGAGGGCTGTGGGCGGGGCTTTCCTGGTGAGTGACAGTCTCGGCTGCCCAATGGGAGCGTGAGAGAGGTGGTCTGGGCGGAGTCCGCGCTGAGAGCAGGACAGTCCCACTTCACTGTGGTCTGGTCATCTGAGAGAGAGAGAGACGGAGACTTCAGATGCTCTGATCGACAGGGGAGTTAAAACATTCGTGAGAGAGAGAGCACAAACGACCGGCGACTCTTTGCAGTTTCGGCAGGGAGAGGAGAGCTCACGACAGCGTTCGTCACAGAGCCCTTCGGATCAGCCCAACGAAACCAAACCACTCCGATTAGCCAAGAGCTGGTTTTCTGATGCTTTCACACGCATGGGAACAGTACTACAGACACGAGCAAAGCACACACAACACTCACAGTACAGACATATAACTGGACACTTACAGACACGTTCATCTCCC